GCCCGCTCCCGCCCGGTGGACCCGCCGGGGAGGAGGCGGCGCTGGGGCCCGCGGCCGCGGCTGGGCCGGACCGGGCCCGGGAGCGAGCCCCGCCCGGTGTTGCTGCGGCCGCCGGGGGTGGGCGGGGAAACTGAGGCGGGCGGGAGGGGGGGCCGGCCGCGGCCCAAGGTCACGCCGCCGGTGGGCGGAGGCCGCCCCCCCCCGCCCCCCGGCGGGCCCTCTCCCTGCTGCCGACGGGGAAACTGAGGCCCGGGTTTCGTTGGGCGCTTGCCCAGGGTGCTTCCCCCAGAGTCAGGCCGGGGGGGCCCGGGGCTCCTGCCGTCCAGCGGTTGTCCCGCTCCGTCCTCACGGTCTCCCGACTGACGACCCCCTTTTACAGATGGGGACACTGAGGCGGGCAGAGGCGTCGAGTGACTCGCCCAGGGTCACCCAGCTCGTGCGTGTCTGAGCCGGATTTGAACTCAGGTCTCCCCGACTCTGCCCACTGGACCGCCGGCCGCCTCTAGTCCAAGGTCACCCAGATAGAGGAGGAGCCTAGGAGGACCCTGGGCCCTAGGGAGGTTTGATGACTTGCCCAAGGCCGCTAAGCGGGACCTCGGCTCTGGGCCCTCACAGGTAACACGACGGGATTCGCACCTAGGTCCCCCGACTCACCCTGGGGCCTCAGTGGGATGTGCCCAACTTCACCCAGGCGTTAAGTGGATCCTAGAGTCCGATCGAAGGCTGGAAGGGACCTTAGGACCATTTCCCTTTAGCAGCTGAGGAAACTGAGGCCCAAGAAGTACAGGGACACATGCGAGATGATGGGTAGAAAAGGGCCCCAGATTTGGAGGCAGAAGGTGCCCGAGGAAGTCGAGGCCCTGGGCGGGGAAGTCACTGGCCTAAGGTCTCGTGACAAAGTGGAGTTGGGGTTTGAACTCGGGTGCTCAGCCTGGCTTGGTTTCCTCCTAGCTTCTCCTTCATCCTTGCCCAGTGTGCATAGGAGCCTTCCCCTGGAAGAGGGTTTTTAGGCTGGGGTCCATGAACTTGTTTGATTTTTTTAAAAAAATAATTTGACAGCTGTGTGGTATAGTAATTAGTTTCCCTTGTAATCCTGTAGATTTTGTTATATGCATCTAAAAACCAGAGAAGAGGTCTGTAGGAGTTACCCGGCTTGCTTGAGCGGCCCAGACCCGAGTAAGGTGAACAACCCGAAGATAAGAGAATGCACGCTGGCCTTCCTCCTCGCTGACCCCAAAATTTATGCAGTGGACAGTTAGGGTTTGTGACTGAGTGCGGGGATACAGAGATAAAAAGACCTCTCAGAAGGCACTTACGGAGGAGTGCAAAGGGACACATTGGGAGACAGCTCTTGCCTTCACAGAGCTTAGCTTCTGTAGTAGTAGTGCTCCATATTGTTTAGCATATTGTTGTAGTGAAAGTCAAAACACGTAAAACTCTACTTCTTTTTTGGTATGGGGAGAAGTTCCTTTCCCTCCAAGGTAAATATTCCAATTTTGCTTTCAAAAAGGTTAAGACTGTCTAGATGTCAGATAGATGGCAGGTGGTATTGATGTCCAATTTTGTCTTAATACCTGGAGAAGAGCAAGTTATATTTATTAAACTTAATTCTCTGTTGTAAAGTCATGCTTTTAAAATATCTATTTGCTTTTTCAAAAAAAAAAATCCTTTTTTCATATCTTCATTCTGGGCATCATCACTTTCCGCAGTATTTTCCCATTCTAGATAGATAACAACTAATTTCTCTTACTAAACATTGACGTTTTTTATGTGTTTTTAGCAGTTACAGAGTGGACAAACTGGTATACATACTTGGCTGTTGCATCAAGAGTTTCTCATCAGACCTAACACCAGGAAAGAGTTTCAAAGTGGGATGTACCTGGAAAATTGACATGATTCCACTCACATTTAATTCTGAGAATCGTGTTAGCAAATGGTACCAATTTTACTGGAAATAAGAGTTCCACGTCATTTTGGCCCTTGATAACTTCTTTTTCAATTTTGAAATAACTACCTGCTTTTAAGAGTTGGGCTTGGGAGAGCCAATGGATGTATTTGTACAAATTTGAAAAGCTGTTCATATGTTGTGTAGCACAGTAGGTGCCAACTGTGTATTGACTATTGTGTAAGCTGTCTAGGGAGAACGGGACTTAAGGAGTTCACTTAGTCTATGCCCTTTTCCGATATGAAACTTAGGCCTTCCCCATATAACTTAGCTTCTTTTGTTTGGGGGGTTGTTTTCTCTTTACTCATTCTTCCCTTCTTCCCCTCACCTTCCCCTTTTCCCCAATGCCCTTTTACAGGGCAGTCACATTCTAGATATGTGGATTTGTTTTGACTCAGAATGCTTACTAAATTCAGGTAGCACATCAAGGAAGTTGGTGTGAACTGGTTTGTTAGACTTTGAAGCTACCTGGTCTCCAATAAAAAGTACTTTTAATGAGACTGATGCTATGCTGTTACTGGTGTTTTTCTAGAACAGCCACCTACTGAAGGAATCTTTTGAGGGGGTGTGTTGGGGAGAAGACTGGCTAGTAATTCCACAAGTATCTTTTGTCTTGCAAAATTAGATACTTAATGAATATAACCAGAAGATATTCTGTTGTTCATTCTAGTTGGCAGCATTTTAGCTCATCTAGCTTTTCTTGAGTTGGTAAGAAATTGGTCTTTTCCAGGTTTTTAGGAAGCCTCCTTTTAAAGGTTTTAGGGCCTCCTTCAGCCAATTTGGCTGCCTTTATGGTAAATGTAGGATTTCGTCTTCAGAGAAGTCTTCCTTTGTGTTGAGTTTATTTTACTCTTAGAGTTTTTTTTGTCATTTGCAGTTATTCCTCAAGTTCATTGGTTATTTTTAATGCAGAGATATTTTTACTTAAAAATAACATCTTGATTTCCAACTTGTCTGTACCTTGCTGATATTGGTTGGTATTAAATACAACATTCTATTCCGCATGATAAATTTAAGATCCTTGAAGTATAAATACTTTATATTTATTGACAGATTAGAGTTCATTTATTTTTCTTCTTTGTCATTTCATTTCCATTGCATAAATGAAAACCGTTGACTTGCTTCAGAAGCTTGCAAAGATGGGAATATTTGAGCACCATGCAGGTAGAAGAGCTCCTTGGATGAAACATACCAGTAAAAGAGTATTAATCATTTAGAAGGATTCCTCTTTTACTTTTACTAATTGAATTTTAAAATGTAAAATGTATGTACTAATTGAATTTTAAAATGTAAAATGTTTAAAATGTAAAAGTATGACTTTGTTGTCATTGCAGTATATGTTGATTTTTTCCCCCTCATTTTGCTCTTTGATAAACAATTTTCCACATTCTTAAATAATTATGAACTGTTTTTGTACATTGTCATTGAAAGATATGTTGACAGTAATTTAGTTATGTGAGTTTGGCTGAAAGATATATGTCATTTCCACGTTATTTATCATTGTTTTTTAAGTATCTGACTTGGTGATTAGATACTTAATGCTTTCCTTTTTGTTTCTATATGGTTAATAATAGAACTGTTACTTTTAGGTTGAAGTAAACAAGAGAAATAATGTTGGTATTAATCTAGGTCTGTTGGAAGTGAGTTAAGTACCGGGTTCTTTCTCCTTCAACAGTCTGGATTGGTTTTTCTCCTTCAGCAATCTGGATTGGTTTAACATTCTTGGGTATTGGTATTCAGGCATTTCTCATGAATACTTTGGTTTTAGAGACACACAATCTGTTGTTCAGGCTTTAAATCAGAGTTGATGAATAACTCTTTTATTTACAGACAGAGCCAAATAAAATAGCTTAGGGTGCTCTGTGTGTTATAGAAATGACCTCTGCAGTAAGTCACTCATCCTTAGAGGTAAATGTCTATTTCTTTGTGGGTCCTAGGGATTGGGATATCCTTTCGGGCAACCTCGTGAAAATGTTGAAGATATATTTAGGCAACCTGAGGTTTTCTTTAGTTGTACTCAGATTAACCAATGCTCCTTTCACCCCCATCTTCTTTTCTTCCTATTTCCCAACCAAATTCAAGAAGCGTTTATCTCCTGGTGGTTGTTGTTTAGTCGATTAGTTGCGTTTGACTCTTTGTGATCCCATTTGGGATTTTCTTGGCAAATATACTGGAGTAGTTTGCCATTTCCTTCTCTAGCTTATTTTACAGATGAGGACCTAGCTGAGGCAAACAGAGGGAAGTGATTTGTCCAGGGTCATACAGCTAGTAGGTGTCTGAGGTTGGATTTGAACTTGGGTCCTCTGGACTGCTATCTCCTGTGGCATCTAGCTGCCCCGTTATCTCCTGAGAAGAAAAAGCTATGTAAAAGAATGATTTGAACTAATATTAAACTTTACCTTTTCCATCCGTTAAAAGAATTGGAGACAGTCTTTTTCAGTTGGTACCACCATTGTCCAATGTTTTAATGGGAGTTTTGTTGTCCAGCTAGGTGGCACGGTGGAGGCAGGATCCATCAGCAAGTCAGTTTACCTTACTGTTCTTGGGTTTTCCCAACCGTAGAATGGGGATGAGAACACTTATATTGCTAGCCTGAAAAGATTGTGGCAAAGAATTTTGTAACACTTGAAGCATCATATAAATGAGTTTTTATCTGCCATCAGCTATCAAAAGGAGGTGTTAATGTGTTGGTTTTTAGCTGTCTGGATGCTGCCTGTGTGAGAGTTGAATTTTTTTTTCAACCCTTTTTTTGGGTTTCCTTCCTTAGAAAATAGAATATGCACAACACAATTTAACCTTTTCTTGATGGCTCAGGATTATGATGTTCTTTTTCAATGTGAGCTTTGCAGTACGTCAGTAGTTGTTAAATTTTTTGGTGTCAGGACCACTTTATCCACTTAAAAATTATTTGGGACCACATAGAGCTGTTGTTTGTGTGGTGATTTCTATTGATATTTCCCATATTAGAAATTAAAACATCTTAGTATTACTGTGAAAGTAGTTTTGACTTTGTGGACCTCTTGAAAGGGTCTCAGGGACCCCTGAATCCCTGGACTTTGAGAACTGCTGTTCTGGATGGTCATAATAATAGTCATAACAGCTAGCATTTCTTGTGCACTTTAAGGTTCACAAAATAGTTTACCAGTATGCCATTTGATCTTCACAACAACCCTGGGAGGTAGGCGCTGTTAATATTTTCATTTTACTGGTGAGCAGACTAAGGCAGACTGAGGTTAAGTGACTTGGGTGGTACAGTAGATAGAGTGCTGGACCTGAAGTCAGGAAGACTTGAGTTCAAATCCAGTCTCAGACACTTACTAGCTGTGTGACCCTGGAAGTCACTTAACCTCTGTCTGCCTCAATTTCTTTTACTGTAAAATGGGGATAAAAGTAGCACCTACCTCCCAGGGTTGTCATGTTGATCAAAAGAGACAGTAATTTGAAAGTGCTTGGCATAATGCCTGGCACATAGTAAGTACTATATAAATGTTAGCTATTGTAGTTACTATTATTGCCCAAGGTCACATAGCTGGTAAATGTCTGAGGGAGAATTTGAACTTGGGTCTTCCTGACTCTGGGTACAGTGCTTAACGCAACCTACCTAGCTGCCTCCAGTGATGATTTGTAACATTTTGTTGAATCTCTGGTTATAGAATATGCCTATGGTTTCCTGAATTAGCTTTCGTTTTGCTTTTTTTCCTCATAGAAATGAAACATTACATGATCTTCTAGATATTCTGAATACTTTTCTGCAGAATGATTAAATCAAAGATTGAAAGCAGCTTTCTCCTAAATTATTTTGTTGATCTTAGTAATATTTTCGCTTTTTATCCTTTGATATTTGTAGTTTTCATTTGTTTTTTTGTTTTGTTTTTTTGCTTTTAGGCAATTGGGGTTAAGTGACTTGCCCAGGGTCACACAACTAGTGTCAAGTGTTTGGTCTGAGGCCAGATTTGAACTCAATTCCTCCTGACTTCAGGGCCAGTGCTCTATCCACTGCGCCACCTAGCTGCCCCAGTATTTGTAGTTTTCAAAATATCTTAGTTCAGCATTCAAATATACTTCATCTCGGTCAGCTTCATCAGTCTTTCAGACTTTCAGGTTATTGCTACTAATGATAATTAAAAATTGGTTGTAGTGTTGCTACTGAGGATATAAATATATGACATTATATTTCTAGCTGTTTACTTTTAGATTTACAGAAGTCATGTTTTTGTGCTGGGTAATTGAGGTTGAACTTACATTTGTACAACAATAATAATTTTTGTGTTTATAATAGAGGAATTATTAAATCATAAAGTTTTAGGTCATATAATAAGCTAACTTCTTGAAGAATGGATAAGCCCTGCCTACTGTGTACTAGCACTGTTAAGTGCTGGGGATGCAAGAAAGGGCAGAAAACAAAAGATGGTGAGGCCCTGCTTTCTGATGAGTATTTTGGCCAGTCAGTCAGTCAACATTTATTAAGTGTATTATGTTTTTGTTTTTGTCTTTTAGGCAGTTGGGGTTAAGTGACTTACTGAGGGTTACACAGCTAGTAAGTGTCAAGTGTTTGGTCTGAGGCCGGATTTGAACTCAAGTCTCTCCTGACTTGAGGGCCGGTGCTCTATCCACTGCGCCACCTAGCTGCCCCTTATTAAGTGTATTAAGTACTAGCAATTTTGAATGCTCAGGATACCAAGGAAGGTAAAAAAACAAACAAACAAACAATCCCTTCTCCCAGGGAGCTCACGGTCTAATGGGGAAGACAATACACAAAGTACAGACAAGATAAAAAAGGGTAAATTAGGAGGGTATTCCCAGAGGGAAGGTGCTTGTTTTTTGTCCTTTGTTTTCGAAGAGGATCAATCATATCACGGGGTGATGTCTTGACTCACATTAATTGAAGCAGAAAGCCTCACTCTCCTTGAGTCATCAGAAGTCCATTGGCAAGACAAAAGCCAGGATGACTGATGATGGCTTGGGATGCAGTGGATGGCCTTGGTGTCTTCCATGTCTGACCAAGCTCTAAACACTCGGCTGCCCCTCGGAACGAATTATTCTTGTCTACCCATTCTGTCAGGGGAAGCCTTCACATGCTTAGGGTAGACACCCCCTCTAACTCACTATTGGGTTTGTGGCTGTCAGTTACCCTCAATCTGGTTTAGCCCTGCTGAGAGAGTTTTACTAGGGTGTGGACAGTGCACATGCTACAGTGTCTTGAAGCCTCAGGTAAGAGTTGGGTGAAAGATGGACACCAAAAATGGATGAGCAGCCCTGAAAAGGGCTTGGCTGCCCTCCCACCAGAGGTGCTAGTCCTCCCTGACCACCTCGTACACTTCACACACCCTCAGGGGGAACCAAGATTAAAGAGAACAGGGGCAGGTTTCTTGCAGAAGGTGGGACTTTAGGTGAGACTTAAAGTAATCCCAGGACACCAGGAGACAGAGATGGGGAGGAAGAGAATTCCAGCCATGCTGGATAATCAATAAAATGCCTGGATTCAGGAGATGGAAAATTTTATGTGAGGAATAGCAAAGAGGCCAGTGTCACTGGATCACCCTGTATTGGAGGGGTGGGTAGGGGGAGGGAAGTAATGTAAGATGACTTGGAAGGCAGGAAGGGGCCAGGTTCTGAGGGTGTTGGAAGGCCCAACAAAGGATTTTCTATTCTGGGGGTATTAGGGAGTCACTGGGGTTGATTGAATGGTGATGGGTAATGGGTAAAGGAGGGTAATTGAGCGGGTAATGTGGTCAGGCTTGCATTTAGGTTAGATCAGTTTGCCTGCTGAGTGGAGGATGGGTTGGAGTAGGGAGAGACTTGTGATATGAAGACCAATCAGCAGATGTGATGTGATGTGATGAAGGCCCGAACCAGGCAGGTGGCCACGTCCAAGAAGAGAAGGGGACACAGAAGAGAGATGTCACAGAGAGAACGAAAGCACTTGACCACTGATTGAATATGGTAGTAAGGCGGCTAGGATAACACCTAGATTTGG